TTTCCAGACTTTTCAATATTTTATGAGCCCTTTTGAGCGGAGCGTGGCCATAAAATTGAAATGTTGTCGGGCTGTTCGACTCCTCTGGCGGCAGCTCCGGGCTCGTCAAAGTCAGTTTCTTGTTGGCCCGCGGCCCGTTGCCTGTTGGTTGGGGTTTTTTTTTATGGCGTTTCATTGGTCGGTTATAAATTTGTGTGTTTGGCAATAAATACCAAAATAATTCTATCAGAGCACCGTGTGTACGTGGAAGGTCCAGCCGTTGACATTTGTGGGCTGAGGAGGTGTGCCAGAGTGTGGTAAAAAACCAAAACCCCCAAACCAATACGAAAACCACCCCAATCCCGATTCCGATTCCGATTCCAATACTGACCATCGAATGGAGAGCTCCGAACTGGCACTTTACACAATTTTTATTTGCTGCTGATGTGATTTTGCACTCAATTGAAAAGAAACTCGATTAAATTTTCATGTCGAATTGCCTGGGAAACTCAGTTACATGACTTGCCACTCCTCGCAGTCAGAGAGGACTGTTTACTGGAAACGTACCAGCCAGGCCACCAGGAACCCCCCAAAAGTGCGGATGATCTCTTATTGTCGTCACGTTTCATGTGTCTCTGGTTGGTCCAACTTTAAAACACTTTTCATACATGATGTATGCAAATGAGACAAATATTTGCATATGTTTATTATTATTATTAATTTATTATTACTGTTCCAGCCACTTTCAATTGGACAGTCATTCAAACCTTATTCAGCCTTATTTTCCAGCGTATTAACAAATGGATTTGAAAATCTATAACCGTCTTGGAACTGGAACACTTCAGTTCCCAACGTCCATAGTCCGCTAATACGCTCATTGATAAGGGTTAGCATACGTTTGGAGCTGACAGTGAACAGAACTTGGCTCTAGCTGAAAATTGTTTCTAAGATTTTGATGTACAAACATTGTTGATAAGCGCCTGACACTTTGTTTCTAGATGTCTTTCTACTTTGTTTAAAAAAAAAAGTGCTTGAAACTTACAAGTGGAATTTGTAAATCGTCCCATTTTAAAAGCAGAACATTGGAAATTAATTTACTAAAAGAAATGTAAAAGTTACGGGCAACATTCCATGCTAAATTTTATTTTTTATTGGAAAAATGTTTTGTGCATATTTAAACCTTTTCAAAAATGGAAACAGCCATTGTAAGTAACTAATCGATGTATCATCGATAAGCCCTTCGGAAAAGAAGCAGTTCTGAAAGCAAACAAAGTGCAGACCGGACGGGGCTAATGACAAGTTTGATGATTACTTTTCAGCGCAAATGAGCTGTGGTGAGGGGCTGCTGCTGCTGCCATTAGAGTGGTGTTAGCTGTGCTCCCGATACACCCGAACCCCCGAATACGATACCGTATAGCAAACGGTATACCGTATGGTACAACGACCGCCCTCCTATGATAGGGAAGTTGAGTGGCGGTGGCGGTGGTGGTCGGAGGTGGAGTAGAGTGATTAGCGCACTCCATTTACTCCATTTTTAAACTCATTTAGCGGTGAGCTGGTATACAGCATTTTTAATAGCCATATACTAAACCTATATACATATGTATGTATGTATTTACATGTGAAAGAAAGACAGTGTGGAGGTAAGTAAAAGAGAGAGACGGCTAATGACAGTTGGCTGCTTTTGTTTGCCCCCGCTGGAACATGAACAATGGCTGCTTTCTGTGGCTTTTTTTATGCCAACTCGTATAAGCGTTTAGACAGGGGGTAGACATGGCTCGTACGTTAGTTAGAATTGCCTGCTTTATGACGTTTTTATGACTGCCCTGCCATGTGCACGGTTGACAGTCCGAGCACGGGTCCGAACCATAATTAGGGGATATACAGAGCCCCTGGACAGGGTTTTATAGGTAGAGATAGCGACTCATATTTAATTTAAATGTACCCCATGATGGCCGCTAATTATCTGCTGTCACTGTGTGCACAGTGCATCTATTTACGCAGTGACTGACTGACTAGCGGCTGGCTGACAGCAAACTGTCCAACTTGTTAGGGCACAACTCTTTTGTGGCCTTAACTCGAAAATTGCTGCCCGAACTGAAAAGATGGAAAACTAATTTGAAAAATGTGCTTAGCTTTGTGGTTCTGCTCGACTGAGCAGAGCAGAGTAGCGCAGAGCAGAGCGGACATACTGTCTCTGTATCCCTCACTCCGGACCATTCACTTGGCCTGGCTTAAATCCTTTTCAATCTTGCCAAAACATAATCCAAATTGACATGTACATGTGCAGCCATGGACCAAGAGGCTTCACTCAGAATCCAGCCTCCGTCCATCCGTAGTATCTCTGGGCGCCTGTCTTGTTGACCAACCGCATGGCTGTTCATTTGTATTTTTCATATCCACTTTTTTGACTGACACACACGACTCCACCTCCCCCTCCACCTCCACCTCCACCGTCGTCCGTCCACCCTCCTGGCTGGTCACTTTGAATTGGGTTTTTCTTTTTGGGGGGAAATTTCTGACCGGAAAACTTTTGCTGCACTTGCGCTCTCAGATCAGCTCGAAGTCGAACGTGTGCCAGTGCCATGAGCGACGACCCCATTTCCGTTGCCATTTCCAGTGCCGAAGTCGTTTCATGTTGTATTACACTAAGTGGACACAAATAGATTGCTGGTCGGTCTCCGGCAGAGCCAGAGCCTGTCCGCAGGTTTGCTCAATAATCAATCAAAACCCTGGCCTCCGTCGGTCGTCTGAGGCTGGTCCTCGACAGTGGGACAGTGGCAGTGGCAGCGCCAGCCAATTAGAGACAACCCCACATGCAATGCCACACAATCGATGAGGCCAAGGCTGTGGCAGGGCTGGTGGCAGGGGGTCCATCATCCTCATTACAAACAAAATGTTGTTCCTTCTTTCGTTGGCCGCTGGCCACAAAGAAATAAACCAAAAATTGTCCAATTAAACGCAATTTATGCGAATTTCCAAGTAGCCCAGATCCGAGTCTCCCCACTGCCTATCCCAAAACAGCGGCAAATGGCAAATTAAAAAGGTGTCTCTGCTGAGGTCCATATAAATAGCATTTGATCGCCTGGCGTCTGCAACTTTGTTCGGGCGCCGCCGTCTTTCAACTCTTTGGTAACCGAAAATGGTTTACTTCCGCAAAGGCCACAGACCACCAGACCACCGGACCACCGAACTTGTAGGAGTCCCAATCCCGGACCCAAAAACCGACCTCAGCGCTAATGTGACAGCAGCCAACACTTTAGAGGCGGCATGGCCCGATCCAGCCCTAAGTATAGGGCTGCGTATAGCATACCTGATCCAATGGAGCGGCGTCTGTTTGTTTTGCTTTCAACGCAAAAAACACAACAATAAAAAAATACACGTAATATATTTATAATGGACGGGCAGGGCCCCAGGATATTCATTCGATTGCTAATTGTTGTTAGTTTTTCGTGGGCCGAGCATATGGCTGATTTCTTTTGGTAGCCGAATCATTAGCACGTCCAAATATATCCGGTTAAACTGCAGGTTCCTATATAAATTGGTGTACCCGTTCAATACTCGCTGTGGCTGTCAATACCTGTCTATAAATCATCTTTATGTGGAGGGTTGCTACTATTTTGGGGTTGCAACTCTGCCGTTTAACTACGGAACTCAACCGAAACTTGTGTATATGAAACTGCCATCCATTAAACGATTTAACTAGTTTAGGGGTGTTTACCAGGGTCTGTCTTTGTTTACTTAGGAGGAGGCACATCAAGTAACATGTAATTCGAAGCAAATCATCAGGCTTATGTTAGCCCTGTTCTGAGTTTTACCTTGCTTAAAAGGGAATATGTATAAAATTCTCAATGGAATTATATTTAGAAACATATCTACTAGTACATGAGCAATTTTATTAGCAGAGAAAAGCTGCTTTATATTCCTCGCATCTTCTGAACTTTTTGTGTTTTTGTGGATTCTGATATAGACTGCTCAGAAAATATAGCCATAATTTACGAACAGTTCAAAAATGAGATTCGCATGCGTGTTAATTGTATTGTGGAATACGTTTTATTATATACCCCTTGTACAATATCAGTTTGATAAACTATCCAAGATATTATATTTTAAATAAATAATTTTAAAACGTATTGCGGACTCATACTCCATTTGCATGGATTTTGGGGATTCCTGCCCAGTCCCTCTAATGAATAATTATTTTGTATTAAATATCATAAGTCTATAGATTACTCGTACAAATAAATTAAGATAGCTTTCCATAATTTTGCACGAAAGTTTTACCAAAATTAAAATCAGTATAATATTTTGTATTACATCCTACAGATCTTTAACAAAATTTACCTTTTACCATTGCATATTTTGCCTGAAAAACAACATTGCTTTCAATCTCTCTCAGCTGCAAATAATACTCCAAGATTTTTGTATTGTATTCTTTGATTTTGTAATGTGTTTATTTTCATTCATTTTCTTGTTTAAATTTCAATGATGGATCGTACATATTTTAGGCGTTTATAATTTATAATACTAGGTAATGCCATTTGCCTTAAGTCTACAGACAGATATTACAATTACAGTACATATGTATGTACGTATATACATATATGTATATATCCTGTATATATACGTTGTATTATTACTAAGTGTGGCTCTGAAGCTCACTGCGACATTTTTGAGATGCGATTTGCCTTCGGTTAAACTGTCGAACAATAACTAAGGGAAGGGGGTCTAAATGCTACACTACGAACACACAAAACTGAAAAATTGAGAATCTACACAAAACTTAAAGCGTAGACCGGGCACCGCCTTCTGCACCTCCTCCGCCGGGGATTTGATAAGTAAGCGTCTCTAGAGAATAAAGCTAGGTATTTACAGATGGGAGAACCAATCCTATTTACAGTGGGAACAGCCTGCGCCCACCCGAGCGATCACTGTCCGTTCTCCGCCGCCTCCATCGAACTATGTACAGAGCGAAATGTATCACAAATAAACCTTCTGCCGCCACACGATCCGGTACACGATTAGCAGCCCGCCGCATGCGATGCCTCTGCCCACGGCTGCAGGCCGTGCAACGCTGCCAGGGGCGCGCCATTGATGCCGCCCTGGGAGCTCAGTGGAGCCGACGGTGGGGCAAAGCCCTTGCTAATGGCCTCCGCCTGCAGCGAAAGCATCAGGCGATTGGCAGCCTGCCGCTCAGCCTCGCGTTCTTCGGCTGTCTGGCGTCTGAAATGGCAAACGAAGGAAACAATTTAAGTTAGTTATATTTCATATTATTTTAGATATAGTTAAGAGGGAAAATGGGGGGAACGGAGGTGCTGTCATGGGCTAATGAGATAATTAAAGAAAGTTCTGGGTAAACTGTTTACCAAACAATCCAAAGGAAATTATTGTATAAATATGTTTCGAGTAGGTATTATTGATTTAATACACTTAAGACGGTTTAAATAAATATATACATATATATAGTTAGCTCCCAATATAGATACCTATACATCAGCTATATAATCGATACGAATGATGACCATGCATATTATCTCTATCTGCGAATGGCCATCGCTTAATGTACATATTCATTATGGAAAACCAATTTGCCAGAACTCTATTTCAGCCGCTCATACGAGTATATGGCATATATTGTGAGAGTACAGGCGGGTAGGTAGGGGGCAGAAGCTCATCAAGTCATTATGTGGGCGGCCGATTAAGACCATTTAAAACTAATCAAATCAAATATGCTGACTGCCACTGCCACGGACCGACACGGGTCCAATCAGCCATGGTTGGTCTCTCTTTTGTTTTTGTGGAAAATTAATTTCGAGCCAAGTGCGGACTGCGTAAAATTGCATTTTAAATGTTTTGTGCTTAAAAGGGATTTTGGCCTCGGACACACCGTGCCTGTGCCAGTGCCCTGCCAGCTGAATGAATTATTCAGTGGGAAAATGCATTCCACATGCAGTTGTCCAGAGTTTACCCCTCCCTGCCCTGCCCCCATTCCGGGCCGCGTTTGCGCAGCATTTTGCTCTAATTGTGGCCATGGAGCTGAAATTACCACCACCACCAGTGGCAACCACCCACCCTCATGCACACCCTCACACACAGAGACAGACAGCCCAGCCCGACTAGGGGTTGCGTTGCTCTGCCCCGCCGCCATATGCGCCATCTTGAATATTTCATGAGCTAATGAAGTTCTTATGTTGCCAGCTAAATAGACAAGCGGCAGGAGTCTGCCAGGCTGTGCAAATGTACATATGTATGGATATACCTTCGCTATAACCACAACTATGCCGGCATATATCATAATTATTGTTTAATATGCTTTCATTACGGTTTTCATCAGCAATGTCATCGTTCAAACTATAATTTCATAACTCGCATGCGAGATCATTAAAAATGCATTAGTCTGGGGTATTTAGTGCAAAGTTTTGGACCCACAAATAACTCGCACGTGTGTGTGTGTGTGTCTCTGTTTGCACACTTAAATGGAGCATGGAGAGTGCAGACACATGTGTAATGAAGCAGCCCAAAGATGGTTTCTATAACTCATTCAAGTGGGTTATGGGTTATCCCACGCATTCCCCCACCCCGACATGATGTCCGTAATCTGCTGGCACAACAATTCAATTGTCAGTTGCAGTCCGGAGTGAGTTATTATGTGCAGAGCAGCATTTCGCTTTTACTTTTTCACCTCCGCTGCTTTGGCAGCGCTTTATCGGGCAGCATTTTTAACAGCTACCGCATAAAAAATTCAACGAAAATTGATTAAAAACTCCAAAAGAGCCAAGCAAACGAAAGTGGCTCTGTGAGTGTGTTTGAGGCATAGTCAGAGGGTGTGGGGCCAGGGCCAGAGCCAAAGTCAGTGGCACGAGTCGGAGGCAGCGACGATACACGATTGTAATTTATCTCCGGGCTCGAGTCACGGAGCCTGGAAAATGTAACAAACGCTTTACAAATGTTAAATGTTGGTCTCTTGGCGCCATCGCGTTGATGTGGAAAGTTTTTGTTGCTATCCGAGATAAATAATGGCCGGGCATTAAGCTAAAATGTTTATTAAAGCTGGGCACATAAATTTAAGTGTCCCATACCCATCCCCATTCCATCTCAGCAAAGCCACTAAACTGTCAGGCAGCTGCTGCTCGAGGGCCCCGTCCGTGTCCTGGTAATTAAAATCATTTCACACACTACACGCAAACGATGTCGGCAAATTGGGGGACAAGTTTCGGTGCGCCGAGAGCCTGCTGGCCCCCACCCAAAAAGGTCCTGCGGTAATTATCTTTCAAGACATAACAATTTAGCCAGACCATTAATTGACTGGCCAAGGAGCTGGTGCCAGTCCCCGGGGACCCGCTCGCCGCAAGCTTGAAGATTTTCCCAGAGACCCTTCGGAAACAGGACACGTGCCGATGGGACCAACCGGATTCCAAGTTAATTTACAAATGGCCGTCGCTCGAGTAATTAATTTTACTTGATTTTTCGCCTGATGCAGCCGCAAAAACTTTGCTTTCAGTCAAATTGATTTTTCGCTTGTGCTTCTGCGGTCAAAAGTTGTTCCTTCTGGCATGTGTGTAAATTTTTAATTAGTCAGCTTTCGGCAGAAAAGTTGCGCATATGCCCAGGCAATTAATATAAAGTGACTCCACTCTGCTCCAAGATTTACTAGGAAGTAGAAAACTTGGCTCCGGGGGGGATGGGGATCGTATCTGGCCTCTGATGATGTACGAGCTTGTAATTAAAAAGGGTTTAGCGCGCAGAGAGTTGATTTATGGGCCGGCAACTAATTGAATTATGTACCCAGAGAGAATTGCAGCAGGAGACTAAAAATGGCTCCACCGGAAGCCAGACAACAGTTAGACTTGGCCATTTGTTACCGCCCCCACAGGGAGACACGAGGCACAAGGGTACCAATGCCAGGGCCAGGGCCACGAAATATGCTGCAAATGACAGACAATTTTTCTTCTCTCCATCTGCTTTGTTTTTGTGTGTCTGTGATGCTGTGTCTCTGCTGATTGTATCTTTTAGTGTTTTTTTGTTTTTGTTTTTGTTTGCTAAACACATTGTCAGACACTGACAGGCAACAAGAATTCATTCATTTGCTCTCGCGCCATTTGTTATTAATTATTTATGCCGAACTCTCGTTGCTGCTGCGTATTCTTGCCTGTCAATTGAGTCATTCGAAAGAGATCCGAGATAGCACTCGAATATGGCGGAGAATATCCGTAATGAGGCATTAACAAGTTGCAATTTATTAAGAAGCAAACAGCACTGGGGTATATCTTTATATATATTGCTTAACGCGCATTGCCCATACGCCATGTGGGACAGGGCTAATTATTCAAATTACTTGCAAATGCAGCGCAGTGTGCATTAAGGCAATTATGTGAGCACATTATCCATACACATACTCGTATAGTATACCTGATATTTACGAGTTATGCTGAGTCGTAATCATGGCGCTTGTATAATGGGCTGGCTGTGCCATTGCCATTTCACTTAACCACAAACGAGCCGTGGCAGCGAGCGGCCGGGGCTGTGGCAGTTGCCGTTAACAAAATTGCGTTTTACATCATTAATTTTTACGAGCGGGAATAGGCCCAAAATGGCTGATAAGCCAAAAGAGCACTGCGAGGGGAGAGCGAAAGAGAGGGAGGTCTGGCCCAGACTTCGGGCCTGCTAAGCGGCAATTAACGCGTCTTAAACGCGACTCCTCCTCCAATCGCCCCGTTCCCGTTGGCGGCCTGAGAAAAGTTGGAAAACTTTGTCCATTTAGCCGCCATTTGCCATCAGCATTATGATCGTCGGTAATTGCATATGAATATGGACGCGCCCTGTTCAAATTATTTCGTATTCAAATACATAGTTGGCAATAATAAAATAGAAAACAATTAGAGACACGCAAGCGCCCTCAACGCATCAATGCCATGTGACGGCCCCTGCCTGGGACTGGAAATGGGGGAATATTTATTCCAAATAAATTATCATTTTCCATCCAAATGACACACACACGAGCTTTGAAAAGTATTCAAAATGTACGACAAGCATTAGTTGTGAGCCAGAGTCACATTAATCAAAATGCTAATTGCCTTGCATCCAATTTGTATGGTTTATATTAAAATATTTAGAAACAACAATTTTTGACATTAATTTCACATTCGAATCTGTTTCAAATTAAAGTATTTGCTTCATATTTGATTTTTGTTCTTCCTTTATGAATTTAACTATTAAAGCCCCACTTTGTGACTACAATATTAACATTATGCATTTGGTTAGTTAGCAACGGTTAATGTAAAAAGGTGCCACTTGGCTTGTTCAACAAGAGTGCTCTTTGTGGCTACCAAATGCAGAGCTAACCCTCCTATTCTGTATACACGGAAACTCCCCACCATTGGAGCTGCGAGTTTTTCATTTAATGTGCTCATGCATATTGAATGAGCCATTTACTCCTCGCTCATGTACATCACGCTTTCTTTTTCTCTGTTCTATTTCGGGGTATATGACAAATAAAACATTGTTCGTAACACGTTATCTGAATTTGGTTCACACTCATTTAAGCACTGACTAAATCGTGTATATGTAAATAATAATTTAAAATCATTGAAAATATTCGAGAAATTTCAGATTATTTTTGTCCCGTATTTAGTCTATTATTATTTGAAATCAATAGGATTTTCTGTGATTATAAAATGTGTATATATGAGGATGCTTTGGTTAGAGCATCCCTGAGTCGATGCTCTCAAATCTCTTTCGGTTATTATTCCTTTTAAACAAAAGCCTTTTGTGCATATTGTAGTTTAAAAAGGCCCGTAAAAAACAGCCAAAACAGGGGAAGGATGCGTAGGGTAGGGTAAGTGTCAAGCTGTCAGCACTTCTAAAGTGGGAAAATGGGCATGGGGATGGCTATTGATTTTTTGCTGCCAACTTGCCGCTTGCCTGGCAGGGGGGCTGACAGGAACAGGGAAGGGAACATAGCCAAGTAGAACGTAACTCACCTCCATTTGGTGCGTCGATTCTGGAACCACGTCTTCACCTGAGCATCGGTCATCTTGAGGCCCCGCGCCAGAGCCGCTCGCTCCGCGGAGGCCAGATACTTTTGCTTGTGGAAGCGCTTCTCCAGCTCGGCCACCTGGATGCGCGTGAAGGATGTGCGTGGCTTTTTCCGCTTTGGTGGCGTGCGATTCTGGTAGGGATGTCCAATCCGTCGGGCAATGGGGAAGGCAGCTGTAATGGCAGCAAGGGAAATACATATTAAATATAAGCACTTAATAGTAGTTCAGTTTCACTCTCTCTCTGTGTGAGTAACTATCTCTAGATCTCCCTCTGTGCGGTGTGTGTCCTGGCGCGCAATTAGCAAACCATAAATTCCCTCCTAGATAAGTGCCAGTTTCCGAAATTTGCTTCCGGAGTTGAACGGCGGCACCTGTGCGACTGCAACTACTTAGCGCTGCCGCTGCCACTGCCACTGCCACTACCTGCCGCCCTTCCTGCTGTGAAATCAATTTAGACGCCGCAGCCCCTAGGAGTCACTGACTCGGCCGCTAAGCGGCTAATTGCCACTGACCCAGGCAGGAGTATACATTGTTGGAGAGGAGCGGCATAGTAGAGGAGTAGATGAACCCTTATCATAGGGCCCAGACGAAGAAGCGTCTTGTAGACAACGCACGCGACATCAATTTTCATTCAAAGCCCCGACGCTTAGTCATAAAGTCGCGCAGGCTTGTGGGATGCGTAAGTGACCCACTGTCTGGGTCTGGATCTGGTATGGATCGGAGCAGAGTCCCAATCCCAGTCTGGGTCTGGGTCTGGCTATGGTCGAAACGGTGGTCAGGCATGCACTGGCGCTGAACCTTTTAAAATTCCTGCCAGTCGCCTTGGCGTGTGTGTGTTTTTTGTTGTTTATTGGGTGCGATAAGGCCTGGCGCAGAGAGCTCAACAAAATATTAAAACGATCTCGCAGTCGACGGCAATCTTGTCGCCGAAACAGCACCACACCAACGGCAACGGCAACGGCAACTACAACAACAACAGCCAACGACAATTTGGAAACCGGCTTGTTGGCTGTTTGCTGAGGTCATGCGAGAAGTCAGGCCTGGGCTGGGGGCTGGGGGCTGGCGAAATTTGTTAGCCAGAAGCCATTTGAAATGTTAGCAATCGTCTTCAACGTTGAGCAAGTAACTTTCAATATATTCGGGCATAACATATTTATTTTCCACTGAGCAAATCAATTGTGCTGATAAAGCTGGAGATTAATTAATCAATCAGTCAAATTTAATTCGATTTAAGCTGATTAATTTGCTTAGTATTTTGAAATAAAATGAAGAAAAACTTCAAAAGGGAATTCAGAAAAAAAGAATTCACAAAGAATTAATAAAGGTTTTCATGGGTGGCTTTTTTACTATTTTGAATCATCTCTAATATAAATCAATAAATGATTACAATTCACACTGTAAATTAGCTGAATATCATAAATGATTGAAAATATTCTTTGACTATGAAAACTGCCTAAATCTTATCTGCGATATAAGATATGATTTCCATTTGAATGATTCTTCAGATGCAATTTCAATATATCTAAACACACATACCCTAAAAAATAACCAGAACGCCTATAGACACGAACCTAATTTAACAGAGCGTAAATGTTCCATGATTTACAGCGTTGGACTGGTTATGCCGGAAAGAACTTTTTACATTATGAAAACCTCTCAAATATGTATCGCTTATTGGTGTGCCATAGCCGAAACGGGCAGCGGCATCGGCATCCGAACCGGCGAACCCTCATCGAAGTTGTGTAGGAAAATGGCGGTGGTGGGCGCTGTGCTGTCAGAAGCCATCAAATGCCAGCGAATGGGGGTGGCGGGTGTTAAGCTGACAAATCATGTTTGTTATTGCAACTTTTCTCGGCAACGGAACCGAACCGAACCCTTTTTCTCTGAGCATCTTTTTGCTATAAATTTCCCATGGCTCGGCTGGGGGTTGGCAATCATTTGAATATTTCAGGCAATATCAATTTCAATAAAAAGCCATTTATCGCACCACATAAGCAGCTTCTCCATGATTTTGCCCCAGCACACATACTTAAAGGATACTGGCGGGATAAGGCGCAAAAGCCGCATAAGCATAATTTTATAGCTATACCGGCAGCCTCCTCCGCAGCTCCGCCCTGTTTATTTATGATATTTTGGCGCAGGCACATATACGTATACGTAAACGTATCTTCAAGATACACATATCCTTGTGTGGCAGGACGCCGCCTTGCCAGAAATACGTAAAATAATGCAAAAAGCTTTTAGCATGCATTATTGATGGCGGCCTGTGGCTGAACGGGCTCGACTGCGGCTCCAACTGCCGCCCCCTTGATCGCCCCCATTGGAAGCTGCTACACTTTAACCTTTGCCAGCAAGTGATTTGGATAACCACTGAAAGTGGCTATCATTTCTAAGAATAAATGTGTGCCGTGCCTGATGAGGAGCCTCAGAAGCAGCAAAGTAGCGAAACTATCGAGAAACAGTGTACTGAATGTGAGACTCTTTTGGTATGTGAATGGCACTGGAAAGAGGGGTACGAATTTTATTAAACTAAACATTGGATTGCTATAACATTTTAAAGTATAAAAACAAACAAAAAAAAAAGCTGTGTCATTGCTATGGTTTGACATGTCACGCAGCTGAGTCAAGAAACAGGAAAATTCTCTGAAAAAAGGAGTTCAAAGCAGCAGGAAAATATATCTGAGATTTCTTTAAGGCGTACTCCTTATACAACTCAATTTAATATAAATATTAATAGACTTGGTCAAACAATGTTTGACATTGAAAAGTGAAACTGCTAGACAGCAGATTCTCTTAGAATGTGAGAACTACAATGTTTGAATGTTCACCTGGGATATTTGGAAATTACTAACGAAATATAATGAACCACCTAACAGTATTGTTGCCATGTAAATCTACCATCTAGCTGCAATTGAATCATGTATTAGTTGGCATTCGTGACTGAACATAGCCCACAGAGGGGGGCCCCCAACTCCAGTTCGGATTAGTCTGGAAATTGTCATGAAACCAAACGCTTTAAGGGCTGTACGAGTACGAGCATACCCGAAAAGTAATTGGCGCCTGCTGCGACGTCAATTCCAAAAAAAAAAACAAACAAAAAAAAAGCTAACAGAAATTAACATGCAATGGTTATTAATCATATGGCGCTAAGAGTGCTGAGGGCCGAGGAGGGGGGCAAAGTGGCAAAGGGTCGGGCAGCCACTGCAGTGGACGGACGCTCGTTTGTCTTGTTAATGAAAAAAGCCAAGGCGCCAGCTTATCGGCCAGCAGGCAGGCAGCGACACAATAAACGCAACAAGACACAGACGTCAGACGAAGAGACCGACCCAGACGCAAGATGCGGACGGGAGACAACGAAGATGTTGACAAAACGAACTGAAACGAGACTTGGATCACCCTGGCGGCCTCATAAGTGTGCCTCAGGTTGTGACTAGCCGAGACCGATTCCCCCCTCAGCCCATTCCATCCCATGGCCTCCTTCTTTCCCTATGCATATGCATATTGTATATATATACATATATATATATTCTTTTGGCCATTCTGGCATTCGAGGCTCTGGCTGGCTGGCTGGCTGGCTGGCTAATTAAAAGCTGACCATGTCAGTTGGACTCAAATGTGAAGTGCGGCATTCGGGCGATAAATAAGCCGGCAACGAAGAACTCACTCGCTGAGCCCTGCGACCGCCCAATGCGTAATTAATTCCTTTTCGGGCGCAGCGCGAAATTAAAAAGTCATGTAAACCAGCTCATTAAAATAACTAAAAAAAAAAATGCAAAAGCAGAACACTGGGCGGATGTTGGCCATAAAAGGCCTGCTCAGGTTCTGGCCATCAGATTGGCGCAGCATTCCCCAGCTAAGCAGCTTTTCCACATGGCCAAAAACCAGCCAAAAATATTATGAGTTATAGGCAGACACACACACACACCCAGATGAGCAGTCCAGAACAAGTCCCTTACGCTACCAAAATGGTAGCCTGCATTCAGGGAGCTACTGAGGCGTAATAAAATCAACGCCGTCTCATTATTTCAAAAGGCTCGCGCTGTGCCAGCCGCTTGTAGCTACAAGTGAAGCTCATAATGTAAACAAATTAACAAAAGGGATGGGATGCAAAAAGGAGCCCCACAGATATGGATACGGATGCAGATGCAGATGCAGATACATCTGCTGCTACAGCTACAGCTCCAGATCCAGATGCGTATGCAAATTGCGAACGAGGCCCATTCCTCTGTCGCTTCTGGGCGGTGGCTCAGCGTTAAGTTTTTAACTTAAGCTGCGATTGCGCATTTGAAGGCAAACATGTTTTTATACTTTAGCATCCCGGAGAGGTCCAACTGTGTGTATGTGTGTGTGTGGGATGAGGAATTGAGTTCGGGATCGGGATCTCGGGCTGGGGATCGTGTTGCCCTGGGTCTGCAATGACATGCCGATAGGCATGTTGGCTTAAAAGACTTCTCTGATCGCGCTTATTACTGTCCACACGTGTACGAGTATCTGTGTGTGTGTGTGTGTGTGTGTGTGCAAGTACATAAATATATATGTATGTATGTACGTATGTATATGCCGGGGAACAGTAGCGATTGCTACCGTTGGACACTGGCCATCATTAGAGGGAAATCAAAACATGACCCAGCACCGCATGGGGGCGACTCCTCACCTGCCAGTCGATCCTTGACCGCCTGATGGGCCAACGCCGCATGGTGCAGCGGTGGCAGGGCCCACGTCAGTGGCGTCCTCTGGGGCGGCACACGTAGCACATGGCCGGCGGCTGCTGCCGCTGCCGATGGATACAGATGGGGATATGAGTAGAGGGCCGCGGCACTTCCGTACGTGGAGTTGGCGATGCTGGTGGCCAGCTTGTAGGCCGCCAGCTCATGGTCCTCCACCTGGAGTAGCTCCTTCTCCTCGCCCTTCTCCCCATGATTGTTGTTGTTATTGTTGTTGTTATTGTTGCTGCTGGAGCCGGGGCTGCTGCTGTGCTGGTGGCTGTGACTGAGGCTGAGGCTGATGCTGTGGTTGTTGTTCGTCTCGAAGGGTTTGGATAGCAGGCGTGATATGCTGAAGGGAAGGTTCTCGCTGGACGAGGATCGCGTCTGCTCCGACTGCAGCGACTCACTGTGGAGAGGGATAGTCAAAAAAAAAAAGAAAGAAAGCGAGAGAGGTGCCGAGGCTCATTAAAAAGTGTCGCCTGATAGGGCAAAAAATAAAATCATGAGAACATTCGTAATAATTAATGCTGCAACCCAGACCAAGAATCAACAATCAATACCAGTTCGAGTTCCAATTCCAACTCCAGTGCCCACGCGAGCGGATAAGACACGACGACGCGTGAGAGACAGATGCAGAAATCATGAAAACATGTTGCCAATGCGGCGTATACGCAATGTTGTGTACAAAATTAAGTAATTATGCAAATACTGACGGCCGTTAGAGGCCTTTAATACGATTCTATAAATCATCGAATGCCATCAACGGACGCACTAAAAACAAGTCACGCACAGCATTTAATTTACAAATCAAAAATAAAAGCCATCGGCCCTCGGCTCGTTTCAGGGCTGGGGATCGAAACAATAATGATATGAAATTGCCAGACACAAAAACACTTTCCAAATTATGGATACACTTTTTGGCCAAAACTCGTTGTCTCCGGTGCTCTAGATTCCCCTGGAACGCGGGTTTTATGGCATTTTTATGGCACGCTCTATTAAAATGTTAATCCGACAAACGTCAGAGCCCAAGAGCCCCAAGATCGAACTCGTATCCGAACCCGTTTAGGTCCATTTGGGCGCTCTTATCAGAGCGCGTTTTTGGCGCCTTACTAATGTGCGTTTTATCGTCTGCGGCGATCCCCAATCCCCCATAGTCAATGGCCAATACAATGCCCATTACCACTGCCTGCCTGCCATACCAGCGATGGTCTGTCTATCTGTGCGCTATGTATGTAAATTCAGGGAGTTTCTTTGGTTTTACCTATAGCTTTATGGGAAATTTCGGGGTTCCATTCTTCTGGTGGCATTGTATGGTCAATTCATTAGCTTTTAAGAGGTTTGTTCACGCCGTTCTTCAAACCGATGTCCCAGCCTCTCTAACAATATGAATGAGAGCAGTTATCACGGCCAGTTCGATATTCTGGCAGCTTGTTAGGCCCTTTTGTTGGTCATTCTCTGCAGCTGGACAAAGACGATTTTGTCCCACAATTTTAATTGCGTTAAGCCAGAGAGCATTTGAATCGAAAATCGGCTCTTGGGATATTATGTATGACTTTGAATGCCAGTGGGGGGCTATAAAACAGTGGGAGCTATGAAAATATATCCATACACAAATGACTTTTCACTGACTTGAAATGACTATGACCCTGTTTACGGAAATAATCCAATGATCCGACTCTATGGGGCAGTAAATAATTTACATTTTTAGTACGATATTTATATGTTGTATCAGAACGAAGTCTAAATAAATGAGCTACCAGTCAAATTAAAAATGCTATGCGCAATTAAATACTTTTCAAATTGGAACATTTATCTAATTTGGGTATTTTTGCAGAATTATTGCTGAAATAAATATATACCTATATTGTTTTAATTTACCGGATCCGGTATTTGTTCTATAAGTATCTCTAATCAAAGTGAATCTAGCAAATAAATAGGTAAACACGTATTCTAAGCCCATCAACCGACCTGACAGACCGTTTCTTTGAGGCACGGATGACCACGGATCAATTATATTTAAAGCCATTCTGGAAATTTCCGCGAATCATCCAAAAAACTACTGACTGTTTCCCTGGCTGCCCTTGCTGCTCTTGCTGCTCATCCAATCCTTACCTCAATGGCGTTTCCGACTCATCGTAACAGCTGCCATTATCCATATCCACATCGGAGCCGCTGCCGCATGACATCCGCGAATCGGAGTCAACGTCCACATGTATCTCTTGCTCCTCGACATCGTCGCCGTGCTCGTGCTCATGCTCATGGTCATCCTCCTCGTGGCTGGACATGCTGACAACAAGTGGCGCCAATTTGCTGCGATTCCACGAGTCTGCTCAACGGCTCAACGGCTTTCACTACACCTCCTCAAGGTGTCAAAAAACAGTCAATAAATCTGATCTGCACAGCACTTTTAGTTATTGGTTATTGGTTACAGAACACAATACACGGGAAATGTTTAATTAATTTCGGATTTACTGAGTGTACGGCGTATCCGCATTCGATCGCGACTCAACTCAACTCAACTCGACTCGACTCGACAAATTGAAGCGCTGCCGTGGACTGTGAACCTCGAACTGCGAACTGGGAGCGGGCGCGTGCTGGCGGGCGAAAACGCTTTTCATAAATGCAATCAAAATGTGCCGACGGACGAGGATTTGCCTCTGCGCGTTGCGGCCTCTGCTGCTGCTGCTGTTGTTCTGCTGCCGCCGCCGCTGCTGCTGCTGCTGCTGCTGTTCCGCTGCTGCAGCTACCGCAGGAGTAAGAGCGAGATTCCGAAATTCACCCTGCCCGGAACAAGTCAAACCAGTTCCCCCGCTGTGAGGGCAGCGACGTTTACGTTTACGTTTACGTCGACGCTGGCGTCGTTCGACTGACTTCCTTCCTCTTTCGGTTAACGAGCCTGTTTGCCACCTTGTTTGAACCTAACCTACCATAATACACACAGCAGTCCGCCAACAACAGCAACCCTCGCCAGCCCCGCCAGCCCCGCACTTGTGCTCGTGCCTCGCTGCACCATTCTGCGGCGGTGGTTGTGCTGTGGTTGGTCCGCTCCGCCCATCTTCTGTCTCGCGCATGCGTCGCGCTGACTCGCTCCATCGGAACAGGTTTTTGCTCGGCACGGCTGTGTCTGGGGGCGTGGTGCTGCCCAGCAGCCATTGGCTGCTGCTGCCCCAAACAGCGTCAGGCCGGGCGTTGGGGCCAGCAGCCGCTTGGCGTTTGCGACGACATTTTAAATGGAAAACGTTTTGCTTTTGGGGTTTTTTATTAGACGAGAGCATGAAGAGAATGTATTTTTATTTTGATTGTTTCTATTTTCGGGTTAGCCAAGCGTTTCCAAGCGTACTCCCCACCCCACTCCACTCTGCCTCTCTTTCCCGCTCACAGGCTGGGGCTGGCTGCCGTCTCGCTTTTTCGCGGCACTGCACTCGCTTACGAGTGCGAGGGAGCTGGCTGGCTCCCTGTCCGTCCTGGTTCTGGCTTTGGCTGGAGAAGCGCAAATGTGGCAGATTAATAGCACAATTGGAAATAGCGTTCTGTCAGCTTGAGTTCACAAAGCAGCGGGTTCTTAGATGCCAGTGGGTTGGGGGGCGGGGACTTCCTTTGCAGCCCGCTCTAATGTCTGCCTCTGAGATCTTTATTAGCGCAAAGTGTTCTTTCTGCTATCGTCTGGAATTTGGCAGGCGGTGATTGCGATAAGCGAGCCTCAATTCAAGCCCAGGTCCGATCCCAAACCACACGAATCCAATCCATTTGCCAGCCATGCAAATGGAAATTGGCTTGTGCAGCAGCGTCTTCTTCTGCTCCGGGCATATGCAACGTTGGCATTTTCCCGAGTTAACCTTGTGGGTTAATTGACAGTTTTCATTGGCGACTCGGGCACGAGCCATCGGAATCAGTAGTCAGGTGTTGTCCAAGTAGTCCTGGAATGTGAATGTGGCAAGGGGGTATGCGGCAAAGAAGTCTTTCTTCATTAGTTGCAGGTGGAACAGGAGCCAGCCAAATCTCCCATCATCCCAAAGCAGGAAAGAAAATTCTGCGGCTAGAGAACTAAATCTTGAGCTGGAGTGGGTCCAACTTTACTGGTAGATTTCTTGTGTCGAGTAAGCTAATGTGTGGCAACATGCTCATTCTACACGGCAAGAATTAACGTGGAAGAAAGCATTTCTAAGTCAAATTTAAACGATCGCAGTGTCTAGGTTCGCTAGACTTAAAATAAACAAAAACTCCAAGAAACCTTCCACAAAACGCCTTCAGTCGGAGAAGTAGTTTAAAAGGTTTATTATAGCCACAGAAAACGCTGAATATTGAGTTCACCTGCTCTGAGAATAAACTTAGTTTAACAAAGTTAAATCTACATTTTTATTTTATTCCTTTTGCCTTTAAATCCGTCTTCGAATGCCACTTAATCTTCTATGCCAAGACTGCTTAGGGCAGGTATAATTTTCATTTCAAGTTCTATAGTGTACATTCGCGTATTGGAACCACATTAACCTGCACAGATCCTATGCCTAACGGTAACAAATATTAATTTTTGCACTTAACCGACAATGTTTCTGTGTCAGACACGAAAAAATCATGGCCAAAAATGAAGAAAGGCCACAGGCAATTACTGCATATTCAATTTCCCGCACACAGCCACACAGAGACTCACGGATACACGCACGTCTCTGGAAAGGACTCTGGAAAAGTCACGACGCGCTGTACTCTCTTCGCTGTCGTTGTTGCTGCTGCTGCTGCTGCTGCTGCTGCTGCTGTGGCTGGTGCTGCTGTTGGTAGTAGGCCTTGTAGTTGGCTAATTGGATTTCATTTGAACAGCAACAACAACAACAACAACGTCAAACAATTGCCATAATAAAAGCAACAACATTGCCTCCATCCATGGCAATTGTAATGCAATTTTAATGCAAAACGAGAGGCGGCCAACATTTTTATTGCATTTTTACCTTTATTTCACTTAATAGCAGGCAACAACAATAACTGCAGCAAGAACAAAAGCAACAGCAACAGAATCGAGAAATTGGTGCTTGGTATGAATACGGAATGATGCCAAGACCACCACAATGCATGGAATGGGGGCTGGCCGAAAGATGGGGGATAGCAGAGGGGGTGGGGTGGTACTGGCACTGGCATTGGCTGTGCCCGTGGCAGGGTGGATGGAAATTAGTATGCAGCAGCGCACTGCAGCTGGATGGCAGGCACACAGGCAAAACAAAACTCAGCTTAAGTGTAGCTCTAAAGTACACTGAAAGAATGTGCTCACCCAGACAGCAACCGTTAATGAATATAACACAAAGAGACGCTTCACAGGTACATGGCTACCACCGATCTGAACTAATCAAAAATTATCCAAAAATATTATTCACATTCTTTGATTTTTTTTCAAGTGTATGCACTGTAGCTGGTGCATGCCTCAAGCACTGTTTCAGCATGGTGTGTGTGTGTTTGTTTGTGTGTGGCCCTACCTCCGGCAACGTTTGCAGGACTTGCCACTTGACTTTATTGGCAACTTCATGGAATATTCAAGAGCAAAGTTTTGCCCAAGTGCCACCGAATAATATCTCCTCCTGTTCTCCAGCTTCCGGTGCTCCGGTTCCTCCTGTTCGACTTCCTGCCGAACTGGCTGCAGCTTCATTTGATATGCATTTTTATTTGGCTCATATACAAATGGCGGCGCATGACGCGAATTGGGTTGGTGGGTGGGTGTTGTGTGGGAGGCACTAGTGCTGTCCCACTGCATGACAGTGCGATGGCTGAGGCGGAGGAAGGCAGCGCAAGTGTCACTTAAAATGCCAATACTGATTATGGCTCAGTCTCACTCCCTTCCTCTCTTTCTCTCTGTCCCTATTTTACTCTCAGGATGTCGCAGCGAGGATTTTATATGCGGTCAGGGATTGGCTATTATTGGTGACAGTTTTACCTTTATGCGAATCCCTCTCAAATGCACACATGCCAGGGAATAGTACCTCCACTCCACCGGCTAATGCCAAGATGAGTGTGTGTGTATATCTGAGTGTCTGACTGTCTGTGTGTGGGTAGATCTCATTTAAGTGATTTCCCTCAACACATAGAGGGAGCGCCATTCTTGGTAAAATCAAACTTCAAGTTCCTAGACCAAGGCCGTCGTGATTGTTTTTCGAAATTTCGCTCTGTCTGTCCACACTTGACTTCGATTAAGGGGCCAGGACCAGAGCCAGTGCCAGGCTGCCCCCAAAATGGCTGGGATCGGGTCTATGCGTGTGTTTTTGTGAATCAATTGGCCACACAATTTACTAAGCGATAAATTAGCGCATCAATTATTGAAAAGACTTGTGGCTAGGACTCTCTTTCGCCTTGTGTATTGCCTTGTGTCTGTGGGTCCTGAGTTCTACTAACACGCGTTTGACCTTCGTTTGGACAGTGTTCTGCAAGGAGCATGAAGCTACCATTTTCCCCTCTGTTTATTTTTTCAAATCAAAGTTGTAAAGACGTCAACTTTGATATCTTATTTGGAGCTATTGAAATAACAGTGAAGAACAAAAAGAGACTACTAGAAATCGATATATTTTGGCAGCAGATTGAAAAATCGAAACTTTAAAAAAGATATATGTATTACCTATTTTAAATATATTTTTATAATTAATAAAATAATTTCTCAATAATAATACACTTTTTTTTTCATTTTCTACATGCCATTCCATTTATGTTCTAGTGGATATGGATTCCATTACTTCAATATTTAATTAATTAAAACTTTGTAGAAATAAGAACAATTCTATATTGCAAATATGAAATCCATAAATTGTCTACCCCTGGGATCTGTAGAGTCTTCATCCCCAATTCGATTCGATGGCCAAGTTCAATTAAACATGGCCTGTGATTGGGAACTTCCATTCCATTCGTAGATTCCCCCAGTAGAGCCGCGCAACACAGCCCGAAGGGTGTTTCTAATTAATTTCGCACCCACTCCCATCGCTGCCACAAGCAGCTACTGATTTTTATGCTGCCACACACCCACTCTTGAGCACGCTAATGCAGCCATATACATATGTATGTATTCTTGAGTGTACTTAGGCTCATGTTTGTTTCATGTATATGGGCATTTTTAATAAGTTACCGATTTTTCCACGCATTGTTGCTGAAACACTCGGCAAAGCAGGAGCAGGCGCCATTCACTCCACTAGTTTGCTCCAACCACCCACCCACCATTCACTCGCCAGCGTCGCGGTCTCCTGGCCAATTTGGGTGGGTGCCGTTTTAGCTGTTTTATAAATTAAATATGCCCCCGCGCAATTCCAGTCGGGGATTTCTGCCGCAAACGCAAATTTGGCACAATTTTCGGGGCCGGGTTAAATGGGTTTTTCGCGGGGCTGGGGGCTGATTCTGATTGTCTGAATGTGCGACACGCCGTTAAGCAGTTCATTTGTAGGCAATTTTCGTAT